TACACACGTTTAATAAAATCTACCTTACAGGTTGTGTTGAGGATTAAGAGAGGATGAATGAAAGCATTTGATACATAATGACAACATTATTTGAGATGGATCTTCTTTGCGGTTGTGACTCCCTCCAATGCCAGAAACAATACTATAGAAATGTCCAATTTGAAGATTTAGGTCTCAGGCAGCATAAAATGCTAAAGAACTGGGTGGATCTAAGCAGGTGTTCAAATAATTTGAAATCTCTTAGACTTGTATTGTGTATGAGAGGTAAAGGGGTGAGGACCCTCTCAGTTATTGAAAACTGTCTCCTCTGAAACATGTCACTAAAGACAGGACCGGCCCAAGCTGAGTTAGGGTGTGGGCCAGCCAGTTGGTGGGAAGCCTTGGAACATCATGGAAATAAACCACACTGTGCCAACTCCAGTTTCCAGCATTGTTCTTCTCTCACAGCCAGAGAAATGTTCTTTGGTCCCCACACTTGAGCCTGTAAGGAACTTTTCCAAAATCCCTTGTTGTGTGTTTTTTTGATTGAGATATAATTCATATACCATAAAATTTGCCTTTTAAAGTGTACAATTTAATGTATTTAGTATATTTACAAAATTGCACAATCATCACTGCTAAATTTTGCAACTTTGCAAAATTCTGTATCATCCCCAAAAGAAACTCCACACCCATTAGCAATGACTCCCCAGCCCCTGACAACCATGAATCTACTTTCTGTCTCTGTGGATTTACCCACTCTGGACGTCGTGCCACACATAGGCCATCAGAGCGAGCTTGGAGCCCACAGTGTCCTCGCTGAAATACAGGAACACAGTAGTTCATGCCATTGGGCTACTTACCAGCAAAAAATGATGCATCGTCTAGAGCTGAAACCCTCTCCTGTGCTTCCCACTAACTTCTTTGATTTGGATACTCCCCAAATGAAACTAAGGAAGGAACAAAAACCACAAAAAAATGGGAAATGTTTTGCTGAATATTTTCCGAGTACTGACTCCACTGTGACCATGGAAGTAAACAGGTAAGTGACTTTGTTTCTGTATATAGGTTTTGTTAACAGAAAAATCAGTTTTTCCCTGACCCTGATAGATTAATATTGAACAAAGATTGAAAAACATAGATCTGAAGAAATGCCAAACCATTTACCTCCCCGGGAGCCTTGATCCCAGCAAAGACTTATCCCAGAAAAGCCCTTTTCTCCCTCTTTGTATTGTTAAAAATTTTTACCCAAAACTTGGGAAGAAACCTAAAAGGTGACGGCATGTCCTTTGAGTGTCACAAGGGGGGCCTATCTAGCAGACCCATCCAGGACTATCTGATTCTCCAGGAGACTGTCCCCTGTGCTTGATTTACTGTTTACTATTGATTAGGGCCCAGACTCTGCAAAGTTACATGTTAACTTGTAGAAGATTAAGTTGCAAATAGTTCCTTTTGGCTCATTAGAAATGCAAATGATTTCTGTCCAGTGCGAAAGACACCGCCAAGGCTTGTAGTTCACTGTCCCGTCCACAGACAGGACACTGACCTGTTTATGTCTAATTCAGCAATCCTATCCCAAGACATTCTTTCACTGATGGTCTTTAGGTGTTTCTCAGATTATTTTTTGAACCAGCTCTACCCACCATCGTACTTGTTCTCTCATTAATGAGTTTCTCTGTGTCTCGTGTTGACTATACATCTGTGTGAGTCATGTGTTTAATCTTTTGAACAGTATGCTTTAATGAAATCTTGGGTTCTAACCACAGCCAGTGGGCATGGACGCCCCCTGCTGGCAGGGCCATTTTATCCATTACACGTCATAAAAATAAGCTTTTCAGAAGCTTCCAAAGATAATTTGGGACCTGAAAAACAACAACAATAAAAAAAACGGAGCCTTTAAAGCATGGAAAAAATGCAAATTTAAAATGAGTTTACATTTGATTAAAATCTACAAAATGCAATATTTTATTTTATTTTTATTTATTATTATAATCATTTTTTGAGATGCAGTCTCACTCTGTGGCCCAGGCTGGAGTACAATGGCGCGATCCTGGCTCACTGCAACCTCTGCCTCCCTGGTTCAAGTAATTATCCTGCCTCAGCCTCCTGAGTAGCTGGGCTTACAAGCACCCGCCGCCACACCCAGCTAATTGTTTTGTATTTTTAGTAGAGATGGGGTTTCACCATGTAGGCCAGGCTGGTCTCGAACTCCTGACCTCAAGTGATCCACCTGCCTCAGCCTCCTGGAGTGCTAGTATTAGAGGCATAAGCCACCACTCCCAGCCTAAAATGTAATATTTTAGTTGTCTACAAAGTATAGCTTGTCAACCATAGCTAAGCTCAATTCACAATTACTCAAAAAATATCTTTAATATGGGATATTCTGAGTGTTTACAATGTCTGTTCAGAGTTCCTCAACACAAAGGGGGAAGTCAAGTTCTGTGCATCATTTTTACTTAACATGAAATGAAAATGAGACTGGGCATGTACATAGGGGCATTTGCTTGCAGGGGCATCAGCCAGTCCCATCTGCCATATTTCCAAGATGAGATTGATCTAAAACTATAGAAACCCCACTCCACCTGTCAAGGCCACCCTGGCTTTCCAGGATCTGGTGGGAGAGTGTGGGCATAATTCATGCCCTCTCCTGGCTCCCTCTGTCACCAAGATACTAGGCCATTTGTGTGGTGTCTTGCCCACACTCAAGGCCACTGGGCTCTTGATGCTAGTCAGCTGCCCATTCAGGCAGCAAGAGACCCACCTTTCCTCTACCAATCTTCTTGAGGGTGTGTGCTCATAGAAATCACCTTCTGCTTTCCTGGTGACAATGGCCAGCTAATGAGCTTGGCTTTGATGAACACTTGCTGCAGGCTGTGAGAACCTAGCACAAAAAAATACTCTGGGTTTAAAGAACAGCTCTCCTTTGCTCTGATTTTGAGCTGCCTCTTGAGAAATTCCTTGACCAGCTGGTATCATGGGTCACTCCAAGGGGCGAGAAAGAGGTTTCAATGAGTCTTTCTTATCTCCACGTCCACAGGACACAAACCATTTCTTGAAAGATTTGAATATTGATTTTGATAATTTAGAAGTATCAATTTTGGCCAGCCATGGAGAACATTTCAACCATAAGAAACTCTTTTTTTTTTTTTTTGAGACAGAGTTTCGCTCTTGTTACCCAGGCTGGAGTGCAATGGCACGATCTCGGCTCACTGCAACCTCCACCTCCTGGGTTCAGGCAATTCTCCTGCCTCAGCCTCCTGAGTAGCTGGGATTACAGGCGTGTGCCACCATGCCCAGCTAATTTTTCGTATTTTTAGTAGAGACGGGGTTTCACCATATTGACCAGGATGGTCTCGATCTCTTGACCTTGTAATCCACCCACCTTGGCCTCCCAAAGTGCTGGGATTACAGGCGTGAGCCACTGCGCCTGGCCCAAGAAACTCTTAACCAGGCCAAAATTTTAGAGCCGTGGGGTGGGGATTAAGACTCCTGTCCTCCCAGTTCTGAAACCATAATCAGGCCAGCACTATTAGTGTTTACAAAATCAAATTCTATTTTGATCCCAGATAAGAGGACAACACAGATATGAAAACTGCAGTCCTCAGGGCCTTTGCCAAGGGGAAACCGCACTCCTCACTGGGCCTCAAAACCCAGAGATATGAGCTCTGGTTCCAGTTCAAGTTCTAAGGTAACCTTAGGGGGCCTGTTACTTCTTGATTTGTACCTTGGTTTTCCCATGTGTAAAAAGGGATGAAGGATCAAGTCAGGATTGAATGATATAATGCAGATAACTCATCTAGCACATATCTAGCTAGTACCTAGCAAATATATGTTTTCTAGGTCCCATAATTTCGAAGTAAATAAAAATTAATTCATCCTACATGTCACCAAACAGTAAAGGTTTCCAGGTTAAAAAAAAATTATATATATCTCCTGTGGTTTAATGTTTGATAAAGGTCCTTTTTGTACAGACACCTTAATTTGGGGGGCTTACTCCACATCTCAATAACGCACTAAGATGTTCCCAGACACCACCTGAAATGACTCTCCCAAGTGTTAAATGCAATTGCGGTTCACAAGCTGACATAACAGACTGCCTGCAGAATCTGGTTAAACAGAAACATTGATTAGCTTTGATTCTGCAGTCTTCTTTGCATATTCTGGAATCAACTTTTTGTTTTCCTTTCTTTTTTTTTCTTAGTGAAAAACAAGCTGTAGGACTGGAAGGAAGGTAACAAATCAGTGAGAAGGGGAAGGACGTCCTGGGGTGAGATTATAAACAGCGGCAAGGGCGGGGAGGTCTTTCTAGGGATTGTTTAAATATTTACCCCAAATTTAAATAGAATGTGACTTTTAAAAATGGAAGGAATTAAAAATCCTTTATTTGGCAAAATCAGATCCACCATTATTCTTCCAAACCAGTGGTCTCAGGAAAGACAAGTGACATGTTATTAGAAGAAAATGTAAATGTTTCATTTTTGTACATTGCTGCTGGGTGATTCCTGCTACCTTGTTATTTCCTGTATTTATTGCCATGGCAAGCAGCTGTCAATCAGGGCTGCCCCAGCAGGGAAGCACCCTCTCACATTTAAATCCTTTCCTCTATCCTGAAAAGCCCTCCTGCCCAATGTAGAATGCAAACCTCCTCATTGCTCAGCCTTCTTTGCCCCTAGGGTGCAGACATATGACTTAGAATATCCCAATCAAAGGCGCGAGCAATTTTGATTTAGAAATAAGCTCCTCTGAGCAGTGGGATGGCAGAATCATATGACAGTTCTATTTTTAGTTCTTTGAGGAACCTCCATACTGTTTTCCACAGTGGTTGTTTAATTTACACTCTCACCAACAACGTGCAAGTGTCCTCCTTTCTCTGCATCCTCACCAGCATACATACATTATTTTTTGTCTTTTTGTTGAGACTGGGATGAGATGATATCTCACTGTGGTTTCTGCCGGGCAAGGTGTCAGAGTCGTCGACTCATGGATTGGTTAAAAAAAAATATGCATACTGACAATAGTATAGGTTTGAAAAAGAAAGTTTATTAGAAAGGAAGAACGCTGCAAAGGGGTGCAACGATGAACCTCAGCAAGACAACTGAGCATGCGGCAGTGGGTTTTTCCTTAGGGGTGTTTAAGGACCTTAAGGCAGGAGCTTAGGGTTGGTTGTAAAATGAGTTTTGGCATGGCATTCCAGAGATGTATAGACATTTTAGTTACTTATAAAAGTTGAAAGAGGCCTGGAACCAGATGCCGACTTTAGATACTAGGGAAGTCTAATTACTTCTAATTTTCTCCAGATAGGAAGTTTCGCCTCTGGAGGGCCTGTCTGAGAGTCACCAGGTGGTCTTTGCTTGCTTCTAAATTCTTCAGATAAGGAGCTTTGGTCTCTGGGACCCCTCCAGTGGTCACCAGGTGATTTTTACTCTCCTCAGCTTCTCTGTGGATTTCCATGATGATAGACATTGAGCATTTTTTCATATACCTGTTGGTCATTTGTATGTATTCTTTTGAGAAATGCTTATTCTGATATTTTGCTTATTTTTAGTCAAATAATTTGGGCTTTTTGCTATTGAGTCCATCAACAGATAAATGGATAAAGAAAATGTGATATCTATATATACTTGTATTAGTCCATTTCATACTGCTGTGAAGAGATATCTGAGACTGGGTAATTTATAAAGATAAAGAGGTTATAACTATTATGCAACTATTATATGAATAAATTTTTTAAAAAGGAAGGGAGGAAGAAGCGCCTCTGTGCAGGACAGAATGTGGTGGGCCCTGGCCGTAGCTGGCTCACTCACCCCAGTGCACAGGCTTCCAAGGGCAGCCCCAGCTCCCAGCCAGGCCAGTTGTGATGCCAATCCGTGAGCTCTGTAATAACCCCTATGCTAATAAATCTCTCCCTGCTTAACACCCAGCTCCTGGCCTGTAATATGTGTTCACTGAATTCTAATTATATGAATCTGCTTGGGGAGAAGGAATGGCTCTGCTCTGAGGTATGTCTTCCTTACTAATTGGGAAACCAGGCTATGTCCTTCAGATGCTTTGCCAGAAAGTGCTCAGCACAGATCAGGCCCCACTGAAGATGGAAGACAGGGAGGAGGGAGCAGATATGGCCCCCAGCCCTGCCCCTGGACTGAGTATTATTGAAACCCCCTTTTTTCTGGTATATTCCTGGAGATACCTTATCCCTGCCTGAGAAGATTAGAACAAGGGGCCCTCCGAGGACTACCTTCAGTCCCAGGCATGAGGAAGCTTGCTTTGGAAGACCTGGCCCTGTCCCTTCAGTGGCCCTCACAGGGTCAGGAGTCTATGGGCCACCTGGAGCCCACCCTGGCCCCCTGCTAAACCACACTTGCAGGAAATTGGATCCTGGATTTCCTTGGCCAAATGGTGCTAAAACCCAATTCTTGAGCCTCTACTGGCCTGTCCCCAAGTCCAACTTCTCAAGGGTGGACCATGAACATGGCTAGGCCCAGGTGTTGCTACTTATGAGGGAATATGGAATTTTAACCATTGGGCATACATAAGACCTGGGGTGTATAGGATGGAGCCCAGGTAAGAAGAGACAGAGCAGGGTGGCCTCCTATCAAGGCCCAGTTCTCCTTCCCATACCATGTTCTGATGCAGAATTCCAAGGAGTCGAAAGATTCCAGATTTGAACCTGGTTTTCTAGGTAGTTTTAAAATTATACTTTCTCAAGATCAAAACATGGAAGCTATTTAATTTAATAATGTGTCTATGTACTGGTTACCTATGGCTATGTAACAAATGACCCCAAAATTTAGTAGCTAAAAATGACACACATGTATTATCTCACAATTTGTGTAATCAGGAATCTGGAAACTGCTTAGCTGGGTTTTCTGCTTCACAGTATCTTGGGAGGCTATAGTCAAATCTCAGCCCAAGATCTACAGTCTCATCTGAAGGCCCAACTAGGGCAGGGTTGGTGGCTGAGCTCAGTCAGTGGCTGGCTGTCAGGCAGGCTGGCCTCAGCTCCTTGCCAGGAGGAATCTTCTTCACCAAGGCATGCATGCCAAGAGGCATCATGAGATTGTAACAGAAGTTACCATTTTTATAACCTACTCATGAAAGTGACACCCCCATCACTTTGTCTTACTCTACTGGTTAGAAGCAAGTCTCCAGCCAGCCTACCCTCAAGGGCAGGAACATCGGGAGGTAGAAATTGCTAGGGCCGTCTTAGGGGCTGCCTGCCACCGCTTGCTTGATTTTTGACTTGTAAGTATTTAGATATATGGGATGTGTCCTCTTAAGCTCCACAAATCTTAAGAGCAGCCCTGCTCTTTCCTGTGAGACTCGCAAAGCACCTCCTTGCCATACTTAAAATGTCCCCCCTCGGGGGTTCTAGCAGAATCCAAATGCATCACCTGCCAGGCCCAGGGCTCTGCACTCAGAGCTCCCACTGAGAGCCGGTGCTCCTGGATCACAGCCCTGCATCCTGGACAGATGAGCAGAGCCCAGTTCAGAGGGAGCTTCCATGAAGGGCAGAAATTACCACCTCCAGCTCCAATTACCAGCTGAGCTAATTGCAAAAGTAATTGCAAAAATAATTGCAATTGAAGGGCCTAATTACCAGGCTGGGCCAGAGAAGTGCTTCCTCCTCGCCTTTGGGGGCTCCTGCTGCCTCCTGGGGACTGCAGACAGGGTGGGAATCCTGTTCTTGAGAGAACAAGAGGTCTGGCTTGTGTCCCAGAGACCAGATTGTCAGAGATAGACCAGTCTTCCTCTTCATGGTAAAGCTCCCTGGCCCTGAGGATAGCCTCTCCCATTGGATTTCTGCCTTGGCCCTAGACTCCTAAGCCACCTGGCTCACTCCCGGGCTACCAAGGGCCAACAATTACAATATTATGAGCGATGGGCTCCTCGGCCCTGGCATCTGGGTCCTGGCCGTCTTCCTGTTCTCTCCTACCCCAGGCACTGTCTCTGCCGCAGGCACTGTCACCCTGAGACTGGGTCCCCCTCACTGGCCAGTCCTCTTCTCAGGGCACCCCTATACTTCCAGCCTCTAGGTCTCACAACTGCCCACAGGACCAGCCCCCTCGCAGCACCCACACCTGCCCAGCACATCTGGCCCAGGAGGCCCAGCCTGACCTGGTCCTGGGTTAGCTGCCTGGTGCATAGCTCAGGTTTGTAACTGCGGAAAATGAGAGGGTGGAATAGGGGAGGCCTCGGGTGACAACACTGTCTATGCCCCCCATTAGGCCCCTCCACTCTCTACCCACAGCCCCAAGATCAGCCATCCAGGAGCCCTATACCGCCAGCATGGTGCCTCCTCTGCAAACTGGAGCCCAGCAGGGTCCCTGCAGAGCCTGGAATCAGAGGCGAGGACTGTTTGGCCGAGAAAGGCCAGGGCTCCCCTGGGAGAGCTCCTGTTCTGTGGAGACCTGTCTCACTCGCAGGGGCCTAGCCCCTCCTCTGCTGGAAACTTTCCAGTGGGGCCCACTGCCCTCATCTCCTCCGTGCCGGCCGGCACCTCTGCCTCTGCCGTTTGATCCTCTGCTGCTCCCTGCAGGCTCCCAGGGGGTCCTGCCCAGGGCTCCTGCCCAGGGCTCCGGCCACACTGCCCTCCTGGCGGCTCTGCCTGCTCCGCATCCTCCGGCAGGCATCCTCGTCCGTCCAGCGGCAGAGCCAGGCTTGGTGGAGCCCTGCAGCTTACATGATTTGGGGTGCATCTCCAAATTATGTACAAAAGGATAAATGGGACAATGACGTCCAGTCCTAGGAAACGAGGATCCCTGAAGCTTCGAAATTTGCCTCCCCTCCCCCATCTGGTCCCAGTCCCCCTCCCCTACCTTCCTGAGGCAGCCTTTCACCGGCCCCGCCCACCGCTCCCTTCTCCCGCCGGGCCTGGGGCCTTCCCCAGGACGCCCCGCGCTTGGCTTAGGACGACGGTCCAATCTCCCTACGTGGGCGTCTCTCTGTGCTTCTGATCCTCCCATGAGGCTGGGGGCCAGGGCTGTGCGGCGGAGTCATCAGCATTGCGACCTGCAGAGTACAGGGAAATGAATTTTTTTTTTTAGACGGAGTTTCACTCTTGTTGCCCAAACTGGAGTGCAATGGCACCATCCTGGCTCACCGCAACCTCCGCCTCCCGGGTTCAAGCGATTCTTCTGCCTCAGCCTCCCGAGAAGCTACAGGCATGCGCCACTATGCCCAGCTAATTTTGTATTTTTAGTATACACGGGATTTCTCCGTATTGGCCAGGCTGCTCCAACTCCCAATCTCAGGCCATCTGCCCGCCTTGGCCTCCCAAAGTGTTGGGATTACAGGCGTGAGCCACTGCGCCCGGCCGAAATGAATTAATTAATGAACCCTTTTCCCACAAATAAGCAAACACATGAACATCTGTTTTATGGTCTTGCAGGCTTAAACATTCAGCCGTCCCAAAGCAGGGGCTGCTGCACCAGGAAGGTCTCCAACTCGCCCACAGCCACCAACCAGCCTTCAACTCCCAGCTAGTCTCCAAACAGGGGAAGTCCAGGCAAAGTGAATCCACCAGGGGGCAGTGCAGGACCACGAATGCCCTCCTGGTGCCTCCAGTCAGCACCCGCGAGTAACTGCCCTCCCTTACCCTGCAGAAACCATCTCTCTCTAGCGCCAGCATTCCTAGGCTCCCAGAGTTTCCTACCCCTTTAAGTTAAACAGAAGAAGAGTAGAGCTGAAGAGTCAGGCAGATCCAGGATCAACCCCAGCTCTACCATTTCCACCCTGGCTGTGTGAATGTAGACATGTTCCTTCCCCTCTATGAGCCACAATTCTCTAACCTGCAGGGTTTCTGTGATGCCTGCCAGGGTTCCCTGAACATGATAAACTGCCAAACATAGGCTGGTTATTGTTAATTCAGTCCCACTGTATGATTTCCAAATGATGCCATATTAACCCAACTTTAGCTTTAGGGGGAAAAACTCTGGTTTAGTCTCCATTAAAGACATCCTGATGGGTTACTGATTTCATTTTTTAAGGGGAATGAGAGAAAACAGGGGCAAACCTTTCTGGGTGCAGATTAAATTTGTAGTTAAAAGTTTGTGATATGAGAGACAGTGGGTACAGCAGAGCCCCGGGCCCCAACTCCCAGCCACTGGGCACTGGCACCCATCGTCCACTGACTCTTTTCCCTACTCTCAATCCGTGAGCTTCTGCAGGCTGTAAAGGGGACTGCTGCCTCTCTGGAACCCCAGTGGCTAGCTCACAGGAGGCGATTGAGAAATGCACACTGCATTGCTTTGAGGACGGCTTTAGGAAATTCTTTCCCCTAGTCATTTGGGTTTCTATTGGCATCATCTGTGGTTTTTGGCTGCAAGCCCCGAACAGTGACTTGAGTGAACTTTATTGGAAAGATGTCAGGTAGCTCAGAAAAAAATGAAAGGAGGTCTGAGCTCAGCGAACACCAGAGCAGCTCTGGAGGCCAGGATAGAGAGCACTTTTTCTCTCTGCCAAGTTGCCCCCACTGTAATGAATGACTTCTGGTGGTCTCTCTATGATACAGAACCCCTGAAATCAGGTTACCCCTTGGCCTGGCCTGGCCTGCAGAGCACAGGACAGATTGATGGATGTCCCAGGATAATGTCACGTGCAACACAAAAGGGCAAGTCCCCCCAGTGAAGTGGGCAGAGAGGCCGGGTGGCCAAAGGTCAGCCAAGTTCATGATAGTTCAATGCAGCAAGTCCAGGCTGAGACTCCAGTCCCCGTGACATTGATTCCCACCTGGGTGCCTGGGCCCAGCCCTGCACGGGGAGCTCAGAAAATGGAGACATGAGCAGGAGCAGACAAGACTCTGCTGTTGGAGTGTGTGAAAGCCACTGGGAGGACAGAGCAGAGTGAGCAAGAGTGAAGGAGGGAGGCCCTCCTTGCAGCCAGGCAAAGTCCTGGCTGTCCATCAGTTTGCCAGCCACTTGCTGTGCAACCTCCAGCAGGTCCTCGGCTCCTCTGAGCTCCAGTTTTATCATCAGTAAAGACTTTTCTGGGCAAGCATACCTGTCTTCTGCAGTCCCACTGTCCAGCAGTGCTTTACTTATGAAGACTCTCAACACTGGGGTCACTGAGGACTAAATTGCCACCCACCACCTCATACAGGCACACACACACATACTCACACTCACTCACCAGACCCTAGTGAAAAAGAGGCCCCTACACATCTCAGGTGACTAAATAGGACGTTTCTAGAGCCAAGGAAGCTTGCCTTGACTCGGCTCCCCCAGCTCATCAGCTGTGCGACCCTGGGCTTACTGGGAACCCTGCAGCCCTCTGACCCCAGCCTTCTGCTTGCAGGTCATGCCATAGATTCTAGGGTGGGCTATCCAGGGAGTGGGTGGCTCAGTGTGGCCCCTCCCTGCCATAGGAGACTGACCAGAGTGGACGTGAAGAGTACTAGCCATACCCAAAGGTGGCACTGAGCCAAGCCGCCTACGTTAGGGCAATGCTAGCTGCTGGAGAAGTAGGCCCAGTGTGGGCGCACTCAACTCAGTGCAAGTCTACTGCTTGTTCATGTGATAGTTCGAATCTGGAAAATCCTGACAACCCGGACAGGCCCACCTTTCTATTTTCTTTCATTTTTGCTTGCAGGCTACAGAAATATTGCCTGAGCACATGTCTTTCTTGTAAGGCCTTGCTATAAGCAGCAAAACACAGCAAAAGCCAGTGTGTGTTTCTATGAGCAGAAACACCCACTCACTTTCAGGATTTTCACCTCTTCCCCTGGAGCTGCCAGTTCCCTGGGCTTTGTTTTCCTTCCATATTATTTTAGGCAATGAATGGCTCATCAGATGTGTTGCGGCTGCATCACACAAGTCCCCCACTTTCCACCTGGGATCTCTAGTCTTCGCTATTCACTGTCCACACCTGGAGCCATGCCACGTATTTAAGGTTGTTATGGCAACACCCTTGCTTCAAGGTGCCAATTCCTATATTGATTAGAGTAACACAAGCTCCTGAAACAAATAGATCCAAAATGAATAAGGACTCAACACATCAAAATTTGGTTTCTTCTTCACCTGATGGTCCTGAGCCTGTGGTTGTAGCTGTGAGCAGTGGGAGGGTTCTCTTCACAGTAAGCCACATACCAGGCTTCCACCCCCGGGAGCCACCTCCCCTTGAGCACAACGGCCTTGTTTTCATCTCTTCCAGACTCAGGAAGGGAAGAAAATGAGGGACGCATTTGCTCCTTAAATGCTTCAGCCCCAAAAGGGAACCCGTCCCTTCTGCCCACATTTTATGGTCCAGAACACAGAACTCAGCCCACGGTCCAACACACTCCAAGTGTGGCACAAACCAGGAAGAAAAGAAAACAGATCCAAGGTCAGCAGCCAGCCGTCAAGAGGGAGGCTCCCTGCTTTTCCTCGGGGGTTTCTCGCTGGCCCACCCCACATGGCTAGTGGCCCATCCAAGTCAGCAAGTGTTGACTTCGTTTCTGATGTGTGCAGGCCCCGAGCTGGGAACCAGCAACAGCAAGGAATCAGACGCCATCTTATCCAATGAGTTCATCCTCTAATGGACAGACCAGAGAAACATGTGCTTCCACCCCAGCAGGACCGGACAGAGAAGGGTGCTGAGAAGGTTTCGAAGGAGCACATGTCTGACTTCTCAGGGGAGATAGCATTGGAGCTGAAAGGTGCGGGAGTTGATCCTCTGGAGGAGGAAGGTGGAGGGTAGGTCTCAAACAGTGGCAAGTCAGCCAGCAGGTGGAGTGGAGTCACTGGAGAGGAGACCTGAATCCAGTCGGCAGCTGCAAGCTGGGAGAGGTGGCTCCATCTGTGGGTGATGAAGCAGAGGCCAGTGTGGAGCAAGATCTCCAGAAAGTAGGATGTCAGGTGTGAAGCCATTAAGTTTGTGATCTGTTGCAACTATAACAGATCACATATTTAATTGCATCAAACAACACAGATGTAGGACCAGAAAGTGTTGGAGACCAGAAGCCCAAAATGGGTCTTACAGAGCTAAAATCAAGGTGCAATTAGGCTGCATTCCTTCTGCAGGCTCTAGGGGAAAATCCATTGCCCTTCCTTTCCCAGCGTCTGGAGGCTGCCTTCATTCCTTGGCTCGTGGCTTCAGCCAGCAGCTGCATCCCTTCCACCTCTGCTCATCATCCCTTCTTGACTCTACTTATAAGGACAGACCCTTGCGATTACATCAGGGCCACCAAGTAAGTGGGGCTCACCTTTTCAGCTTGTGATTCCTAATCACATCCTCAAAGCCACTTTTGCCTTGTAAGAAAACACACTCACAGGTTCCAAGGACTAGGACATGAACATCTTTGGAGGTCATTCTTCAGCCTGCCCCAGCTGGTCATTCAATGCCAGCAGTCACCAAGAGAGAGTACAGGCAAGATGAGGAGCAACTGTGCAGAAGGCCAGATCACAGTGACAGGGAAGCCCGGAGCTCTCAGATATCTAAAGGAAAGGTGGGCCAGACGTGGTGGCTCTGGCCTATAATGCCAGTGACTTGGGAGTGCTGGGAAAGGACAGTGTGGTCCCTGGCTAGGGTTCCACCCCCGCAGACTTAGGTGAGGACAGGCACTCCTATCTTTGTGCCCAAATGTTGCATTTCTCAAGACCACCCTGGCCTGCCACGCCCCCATCCCGGGCCTATAACAACCTGAGATCCTAGCAAGGCAGAGACACAAACAGCTAGACATCACGAGGAACCCATTGGTGGAAGAAGAAGCAAGCGACTGGCCGTCAAGAGCACGCTGGGGGAAGAGCACGCTGACAGGCACCAGTAGGCCAGCTGGCCATCACCCGGCTGAACCACACAGAGTTAGGCCAGAGTGTTCAGAGAAGTGTCAGGTTGCACAGTGGCCTGACTTCAGGGGAAAACCATCTCCCTTCTGGCTCTCCCATCTGTTGAGAGCTGCTTCCACGCAATAAAACCTCACACTCATTCTCCAAACTCAAATGTGATTCGATTCTTCTGGTATACCAAGGCAAGAACCTGGGATACAGAAAGGCCTCTGACCTTGCGACAAGGCAGAGGGTCTAATTGAGCTTAGTTAACACAAGCCGCCTATAGATGGCAAGCTAAAAGAGCACCCTGTAGCACATGCCCACTGGGGCTTTGGCTGTAAAAATTCACTCCTAGACACTACCTTGGGGTTGCATCCTTACAAACTGCCAGTCTGCATGCTTCCCTAGAGCAGCGGGGCACTGAAGAAGTGAGCCACACCCATATGGCACTCCCTGCGAGGGCAACAAGGGAACGTTTCCTACTTTACCAGCACCTTGGGAGACTGAGGTGGGAAGACTGCTTGAGCTCAGGAGTTCAAGATCAGTCTGGGCAACATAGCGAGACCCCCAACTCTATAAAAAATACAAGGATTAGCTGGACATGGTGGCGTGCATCTGCAGTTCCAGCTGCCGAGGAGGCCGAGGTGGGAGGATTACTTGAGCCCAGAAGGTTGAGATTGCAGTCTGTAACCATGCCACCGCACTGCAGCCTGGAAGACAGAGTGAGACCATGTCTCAAAAAAAAAGGAGGAGGAAGAGGAGGAGGAGGAAGAGGAGGAGGAGGAGGAGAAGAGGAGGAGGAGAAGAGGAAGAGTGATAGTGGCAGCAGAAAGCATGATAGCAGGACCGGGTCCTGCCACGGACACCTGTATTTTCTTGCCATAAATCCGCTCTCTCTTCCGGTAACTGCACCCCAGGTTTCCTGATGGAAATACTTCTGTACATTCTTAACCCAATGATCAGCCTGTGACCCAGTCAAAGTCAGTCAGCGCCTTTTCTCCCCTGGCTCGGGGGTGGGCGTGGCCCAAGCCAGGGCAGAGAGGCCTTTCTTGGAAGTCACACTGGAGCTACTGGGGAAGACATTGGTGCTGGGGGCCGCTTTGAGAGAGCCCCTCTGAGACTATACAGGAGGAAAGCAGACTTGAGTGATGAAAAGAGATGATGACAGCATTTGGAAATCTGCATCTAGCTATGCAGAAAGAGAACTCTAGATTTCTCAATTATGTGAACCAAAAAAAGAAGAAATCAGCTTAATCCCATTTCTAGCTGTCGCAACCAGATAAGTATTGACGAATCCAGCCCGACACTGGTCTCAGGTTTTGAGGCTGCCTGCTGTGTCTCTTCTCTTCCCCTGCCCTCTCCCCTCAGCTTCTTCCCCATCCTTCAAGGCTGTGCTCAATGCCACCTTCCTAAGGAAGCCATCGCTGACTCAGATTCTCCCATTCCCAGGTTGGCCTGGCCCTACCTTAGGGTCCCAGCCTCTTAAGGTGGCCGCGTCACCCAGGGTGCCTCTCGCAGCCCCCTTGTCTTTCGCCTCTTGGGTAATGGGTTGCTCATCTTTTCTGATCACTTGCAACCCCAGAGACGTGACTTTCCATGGCTCTGTCAAAACCAGGTGCTGAGCTGTGGGAGAGTCAACAGCGCCATCTGAGATTCAGGGAAGACAAACATGATTGGCCCTCACCAGAAGTTGCTGTTCCCTGTTCTCAACAGGGCCCCCAATGCCAATGTGGGGCTTCTCACCCTCTTCTCTGCAAGGCCAAGATCACCCCAACAGAAGAAATGAAATCATCAGGCATCCCCCCAGACACAGAGAATCAAGAAGAATCCTTGGAGGTCCTGGTGCCTTAGCTCTTCCTTGTCTCTGCCCAGTGGTGATGAACACTGACTTGAATACCTCCAGAGACAAGGTGCTTATCACCTCTCTGGCAAATCATTCTCTTGCTGAACAGTGGGTCCAGGTCTATGCCCCTAAACTTGCCTTTCCTCTGTCCCTCCAGGAATGTCTAGTTGGGTACCTCCCTTAACTCACTCCTCAGCACAGCCCCCAGCCCAATATTCCCTGGCCGTGCCGTGGGACTATCTCTTGCATCGCCCCCTCTGCTGCCTCCACCCACATTTCTGCAGGCCCCTCTCTCTTACTCTAAGTATTTTCACCTGTTCCCTGATGAATCTCCCAGCTCTAAGAGCAGAAAACAAGCTTCTAGGCACCCCAGGGTTCTCAATTTCACCCTGGCTCAGCACATGACCACAGCCACGCCCCAGGAGGGAGGGGAGCAGAGCACCCCCTACACTCAGGCCTCCACCTCCAGAGGGCCCTGAGCTCAGCCCAGGCTGTGGTGCTGGGTGGAGAGGAGCACACGGGCACTGTGGTCAGGTCAGGCACCCATGCCTCCCCACAGGTCACTCATCTGGGTCTCCAGGCTGGGGGAGGCCAGGACTGCATTTCCTGGCATGGCAGCTCACTCTTATGCCCAGACAATGCCACTGAGCCTGGGGGAGGCGGCCTCATATTGGAATCAGCGATGATCCTCATATCCAACTCCAAACACCTTGGCTCTTCAGAGCTTCTAAGGCCCTGTGATCCCTGGGCTACATCTGGCCCCACAGGGCTCTCAGTAAATGCCTGAGGAAGAGAAGGGGTGGGAGGAAGAGGAGAAAGCATTTCTGAGCACTGATGAGTGCCAGAGCCTTTTACTGACACCTCATCCATGCCCTCAAGACTGGGTGGTTGTCCCAATTTTCAGAGAGGGACGCCGTTCAGACAGGATCTCACAGCCAGTGAATTTCAGAGTGGGGACTTGAGCCCAGCCTGTCTGATGCCTGAGTCACCCCACACCCTACCTGTCTCTGCCCTTCCTTCCTGCACTGGAGTGCACGGTGATGTGCCATCACAGCCAGAGGCTGCTGCTGAGGGGACAGGTCTGGAGGCTGTGCAGCTTTGTCCCTCGGGAGGAAGGGTTGCTGCCGAGAGGGGGATGCAATGAAGAACCAGGGTCCAGGAGGGGCTGCAGCAATCTTCAGATCAAAATGCCAGACTTCATGAGCCCAACTGCTTCTCAGGACTGCCTGGCAAGGCCTCTGCTCCACTCCAAATCCCCCTCCTCCCAGAGGCCACTGCAGACCTGCACACTCATGCACCCCATGCATGCTGGCCTCCCAGCTCAGTAACCCACCTGGGCACCGCCTGGCCAAGCCTGGCTCAGGTGCCTGCGATGGCAGGGGAGGGGAGGCTGTGTGGTCAGTTACTCCAGGAACATTGTTTATTATTCTAGACACCACTTACCAAGACACCACCGTGTACGTGGTATGTTCCAGCTGTGCAACTCTGTGCAAAGCAGTTCTCCCCAAGTCTCGGTTTCTTATCTGCAAAATATGACAGACTCTGGTGCCTGCCTTAAAAGTTTGTTGGAAGAAATAAATGAGTAAGCCCTCACACAGTGTCAGCTGCTATTATTACTATATTCCTATTATACTGTTTCTAATCCCAACAACAACACAGCTAAGGTGGTGCCGTTATTCCCATTTCACAGATGAGAAGACTGAGGCAAAAGGAGGGGCAGGACCTGGCTCAAGGTCCAGTGGAGAGAGTGTGGGGTGACACCAAACACTGTCTTTATCACATCATTGTTTCTATGTTTGCCCAGCATCATTTCATCCCCAGCAGCACATCAGGGCCGGGGCTCTGGGGTCCATCAGACCTGATCCTCCATCCAGTAGGGAGATAAACACATAGACAATTGCAATTCCAGGTAGTGAGAGCTGGTTGCAGAGCCCAGGGGGCTGTGGGGAACAGAGGAGAGCCCCTCACTCAGCCTCGGGCCCTGGGGAGAACTCATGAGAGGCCAGCTCTCAGCCTGGCCTTGAGTAACTAGGACTTTATGAGGAGCGGTATCCCAGTTCCTGGGGAAGCAACTGGAACTGAGCCTGGTTCTTCCCCTTTTCCATGTGATTACTTGATTTTGAGGGAGTGTTTGCCTCTCTGAACATCTCAATAGTGGGAGTCTCAGCAAGTGCGCTCCGGTGGGGGTGAAGACTGTGTTGGTATGGATGCCTCACACTGGGGCGGGGGGCGGGGAAATAATGGCTCGCAGAGTCTCCTCTTCCCTCAGTCTCCAAAAGCATAGCGAGCAGCTCCTACCTGTCCGACCTGGGACACAGGATCATCATTATCTCCTTTTACACCTGCTTGGGCTGAGAGCTGACCTGACCTGCCCCAAGGTCACACAGGTTCTGAGCCAACTCCGCATTCACTGGGTGCTCACTAAGCGCTCATCCCTCATTTGATCCTCCCCACCTCTCTGAGAGGGTGGAGTTATTTGCTTCCATTTCACAGATGAGGGAGTGAAGACCCAGGAGAGGTCTCAACCTGCACTAGATCCTGGGGCATGGCCAGGACAGGGCAGCCTTCAGCCTTCTCTGACACTCTCTGCCCACTCCTGCCCAAGCATCTGTGCTGATGGCCCCACACAGGCCCCTGGACAGGCCCAGGGGTCAACACAAACACCCCAATTCCATAAAGGCTTTAGGAGTTGACCGTTTAATGCCCAGGTCCCATTTTTCAGAGGAAATAAGCTTATCACAGGGGGTCAGGTTAGCTGTCAACAAGGCAGTAGTGAACATGGTGGTTTCTTCACCAGTAAAACAGAAATAATAATAGCCCTCCCTTCTGTGTCCATGAACCCAGCCCTGATTTCATTCAGAGTCCCATCCCTTGCCTCTCTGAGCCCAGGAGGTCTAGAAGAGAATGAGCCCCACCCCTGCTCCAGGCATGGACCGAACAAGGCTGGCCAGTATGTTACCATCCCTCAGGAGCGTTTGGGTCCCTCAGGAGGGTCTGGGTCCCTCAGAAGGGTTGGGATCCCTCAGGAGCGGCTGGGTCCCTCAGAAGGGTTGGGGTCCCTCAGGAGGGGCTGGGTCCCTCAGGAGGGTTTGGGTCCCTCAGGAGGGTCTAGATCCCTCAGGAGGGTCTGGATCCCTCAGGAGGGTTTGGATCTGAGTCCTGGGACTCTGAGTGTCTATGATGGAGAGGAAAGGCTTTCAGTGGAGCTGTAGAGAGGAGAGGATAGAGCCAACGATCACTGTGCCATCAGTGAGAGCCAATGTGGGAGACCAAGCCAGGAGGTAGACGAGGGTCCCAATGCCATCCTTGGATGGTCTGGACACAGCCTCAGCTTTGGCTGAAGCACTTCCCCACTGGAATATTTAGTAACAGAAACCAATAAATGTCTCCTTTTCTTTGAGCCAATTTAAATCAGTTTTCTGATACTGGCAATGTCAGAGACTTGACAAATACAGTAACCCCAAACTAAACTAAAATACCACATTTGCCATGAGAAAATACAAAAAAGCATTAACATTTTAATAGTAGTAATTAAACAAACAGGAAAACAGTCAAATTAAATAAGAGCATTTTGTTTATCTAGAAGGCAGTACTTAAGAGAACATTATTTATTTCAGGAAGAATAAGGAAGAATAGTCAGCTGCATGGAAGCAGAGTAGACGGCGGTTGCTAGGAGCTGGGGAGGGGGAAGTGGGGGCTGTTCACAGGCAGAAAGGTTCACTTGTGCAGGATGAGAGGTTCCAGAGACCTGCCATAAAGCGCCGTGCCTGCACACAACAATACCGTATTGTACATCTGAAAATCTGTTAAGAGGGTGGATCTCATGGTAAGTGTTCCTGCCACGGTTTTTTTTAACCTGAAAAAACCCACTGAACTAGGGAAAAACAGAATAAGAAAGAAGAAGACTTCCAGAAATCTGAAGAAGGCAGTTGGGCACTCAGAGAAGACACCACCAAGGATGGCGTGCCAGCTGCATGCTAGGCGCTTGCTCAACTGAGATTGTTTACACCTCAAACACCCAGCACTGCCGGTGGTGTTACAGCCACTGTCACCAGTGAGGAAATTGATGTTCAAAAGGAACAGACACTCAGCCATGCACATTCAAAATCTGCATCAAGCTCCATCTCACCCCAAGTCCAAGACTATTTCCTCATCACATACATTCAACAATCATGTATTGAGGACATATGTACTACCAGACCCTGGGATGGCTCTGTGGTCATCATGTGAACATCCTAGAAGGAATCCAAAAGAGGAAATTAGTGGTGAAAATCAAAGCCAACAACCTTAGGAGGCTCCAGAGGCTGCCTCCATCCCCAACTATTCCTGGGGTCTCCAAGTACAAGGTGGAAGCTCAAGACCTCTGACTACGGGAGCTATTTATGTCTTACTGAACCAGCACACCCTCTGGCCCCAGACCAGCACACCCTCTGGCCCCAAGACCAGTGCATCCTCTGGCCCTAAGATCAATACACCCTCTGGCCCTGGACCAGCATACCTTCTCTCTCCCTAAGATTGGCACATACTATTGCCCCAAACCAGCAGAGCCTCTATCCCAGGATCAGCACACTCTCTGGCTCCCAGCATCTCCTCTGGCCCTGGAAAAAGCACATCCATTGTCTCTGGCCACCAGCACAACCCTTGTCCTTGGCACTGATGCAGCCTCTGCTCTTGAGAAAAGCATTAACAGTCTCGCCTGAAAACCTCTCAACTCTTCTTTATATAAACAGGAATCCCTTGCAGATCATTATATAACCTCTGTCCTCTGGTTCAAGTGAAAAGCAAATCCTTTTTAAATCTTCTTGAAAATTCCATTCAGAAACTGCATGTGAGAGACTCCAAGAACTCAGAACTACACAGTTAAGCTGGATCTAGCTTAGCCAGATCGGAGAGCAGGACTGCCACTGCCACCATGTGAGCACCTATTGTGTGCACCCAGTGGGGAGCTGTGAGTCCACATGGGTTTCTGCCTCCCTGAAAACCCTGGGGGCCCCATCGGGGGGGTGGTGCTGGTCAAACAGATAAGAAAATGGCAGCCCAGAATGATGCAGGGCAGAGGACTTGAACCCAGACTCCTCTGTCTCCAGAGGCTATCCTACCTCCTCTTGTTACCCTTGCCAGCACACTGATAAACAGTAACCAGGAAGGAGCAGAACTCAGCTCTTCAGTTCTTCATTGCTGCAAAAAGAAGCTCAAAGCCCCCCCCCGCCCCAGTATCTGCAGAGTAGGGGTGCGGGGACTCGAAGGAACAAAGTCACTCCCATTCTGCTCTGACATCCTCAGAATGTATTGCAACACTCTGGGAACAGTCTCCTCAGCCCCATAAATAATTGAGAACCCGTGCGTCCTGTGGCATTTCTGCTGAAATCGTCACTCACCCACACTCTTTGTGCTTTCTGCAGAGCCAAAGAAATTCTTGCTGATTTTTTTTAATGCAGTCTTTTGTTGAAACGTTTTGAAATTCCGTATCCACTGAATAGGTGTTCAGTTCCCAGTCTAAGGCAATGGAGGCACAGAGATGACCCGGATGAAGCTCTGAGCTCAAGGAGCTCAGACTTTACTTAGGGGAGAGAGAGACTCAACAGACCCTTAGACTGCCACAAGTAAATGAGTCACCAGAGTTAAGGAAGCAGGGAAGGCAGGAAGAGTGATGGTGATGGGGAAGTTCAGACTGGCCTGGTGGGTCTGTGCCTTGCAAGGGGAGCAGGAGGAGACAAGGAAGGGAGAAAGAAGAACTCCACTTCCCCAAGGCTAGGCCCAGCAGGGGGCTGCCCTGGAGGAGAAGTTGTTCTTAGAAGAGGGTGGGGGATAAGTGGGGAGGCAGCTTCATGGTGGAAAACTCTGCTGTGAGCCGGGTGCTCCCTCTGCTCCCTCCGGTCTTCAGCAAAGCTATTAAACTCACAAAGTTTCAAGTATGATGACGTTTTTCAGTGGCAACAGAAGGAGAGCAAGTTGCACACACCAGTAGTCAAGAGGCCAACCTGAGCTGACACCCAAGGTGCAGGAACTGAGGACCACAGGGGAGGCAGTCCAGGGGCATGCAGCACTCAGGGAAGCACAAGCTCTGACACCGAAGCATTCAGCCACCTGCACCAGCTTCTTATGGAGACCGGTGACTCCAAGAGACACCTGGCAGTGGAGCATGGTGTGAATACAGAGAGAAAGAAGTGACTTGCTCTGGGGTGGGGTGAAGGGCCTTAAAAAGGGGGTGAGACTGGAGACCGAGCTAGGAGGAGGAGAAAGGGAAGCATTTCAGAGACAGAGCCCCAAGGGTGGGGGATGTCTGTTGTCATGGCTTCTCAGCCTTTGTTCCTTGCTTTATTTGGTAACCACACACACTTTCCTCTGGAACCCCTAACTCTTAGTGTCCGTGGTTTACGTGGTCCTTACCCCATCCTCCCACCTGCAGGAGTGGGTTTATAATCTGGGCTTGGCCAATCTGTACACTCCATGCCCCATAGCCATTGGTTTACAGATAGACACATGACCCAAATCAGCCAGTGAGAATCTGCCCTGGGAACTTCGTTGGAATGCTTAGGAAAGAGGGTTTCTCTTTTCCCAGGACAGGCCAGTGGCCACCATAAGGCTGTGCCTGCCTGAGAATGGAGTCAACACAAAAGAAACCATATTTTTAGATGCAATCTTCAAGCACTTTGCATGTCTGAAGCTCCCTCCCCTAGACATTCAGTTACTATATTAGTCCGTCCTCAAATTGTTATAAAGAAGTATCTGAGGCTGGGTAACTTATAAAGAAAAGAGATTTAATTGGCTCATGGTTCTGCAGGCTGGACAGGAAGCATGGTGCTGGCATCTGCTTCTGGGAGGCCTCAGAAAGCTTCTAATCATGGTGGATGGCAAAGGGTAAGCAGGAGAAAGAGAACTGGGGGAGTGCCACACACTTTTAAACAATGAAAACTCAAAAAAGAACTCAGTGTCACGAGGATGGCATCAAGGGGACAGTGCTAAACCATTCATGAAACCTGCACCCTCATGATCCAATCACTTCCCACCAGGCCCCACCTCCAACATTGGGGATTACGTTTCAACATGAGATTTGGGCGGGGAAAATATCCAAACCACGTAAGTTACATAAGCCAGTAATTTTCCACTTTTATTTAAAAGTATTCAAGCTGGATTATCATATGTGTGGCCTCCACATCTGTGATGGTGGCTGCAAAGACCTCTATAGGAAAGACAGCTGGCGTGTCAAGGAAGGGTGAGGTGCTCATTCTGAAAGGCTGTGGCTGGGTCACACAGGACCACAATATGAAGCCAAACATGGGCCTCGGGAGACGGGAAAGAATTCTAAGCAAGGTAGTGATATACCCAGATATATGTGTATGGACTCACTCTGTTTATTCAAATGTGTTTAAAACCTAGAAAGAATTCCCAAGTAGACTGTGAGCCAGACATTTTTCTTTTCCAGTTTTGCAGTCTGAAGGTGCTATCCAAGGTACTGATATCCCCCAGAGGGCTCTTCCAGGAAAGGGAGCAGGCTGAGTGCTGTGGGAGGAAACTGGCATGCTGGCTCCTCCATTTGAAATGCCACCTAGTTCCCTTCCCTTGCATCTGCACAAGTAGAATCAGTCCTGTGCTGCCTCCCTGCTCCCATAGAAGGGAAGAAAGACAATGTGTGTACTGATACCACCCGAAACCAGCCTCAGGACACACAATCTTTCGTCTTTACTCTGCCTGGTCTGACAGAACAAGGGACTGATAAAATTCATGGATAAGAGCACCAGGAAATGAGTTTTTTGACACTTCCCCTGGTCCAAATAGCCAGAATGATTAACACACTTCTTTGTTTTTAGAGGCAAGATCTCACTCTTGCATAGGCTGGAGTGCAGTGGGGCAATTCTAACTCACTACAACCTCAAACTCCTGCACTCAAGCAATCTTCCCACCTCAGCCTTCCAAGCAGCTGGGACTACAGGCATGTACCACTATACCCAGATACTTAAAACATTTTTTGAAACGTTTTTTTGTAAAGATGTTGTCTCACTATGTTGCCCAGGTTGGTCTCAAGCTCATGGCCTCAAGCAATCCTCCTACCTCCGCTTTCCAAAGTGCTGGAATTACAGGCATGAACCACCACACTGGGCCAACACACTCTTAAACAGTTGGTGGTAGGTTGTGTTATCAGCCCCAGTTCTTCACCTCCCACTATGTCCAAGCCCTTTGTTATGTGACTTTGGAGTCCTTCCCATGAATCAACAGAGTGCATTTCTTCTTTCCTTGACCTTAGCCATGACCATATGACTTGCCTTGGTCAAGAGAATGTGGTCAGAAGACATGGTGTGTCTGTTCTAGGCTTAGACCTTAAGAGGTAGAGGCGTTTCCACTGGCCCCCGTGCACCTCTCCCATCTCCATGAGGAGAGCAGGCGCCAGAGAGACAGCTGTCGGGAGATCATTCTTCCTGTCTCTACACATCTTGTGAGCAGAGGCCAGGAATGGCTATGTAATTTGCAAGTCCCACTGCAAAATGAAAATGCAATGTCCCTTGCATTTATTAAACTATTAAAAATCTATTTTAAAATATAAAAAATATCAAGACAGCGACAGCACAGCATTCAACCAAGTGTGGGCCCTTCTTTGTGCAAATCCCTGAGACTACACCTGTCCTGTACCCAAAAAGCCGACCCTGGCAGAGCTTTTGTTTTAGACCAGGGGTCAGCAAACTATGGTCTTCAAGTCCAATCTTGTCCACTGCCTGCTTTTGCATGGCTGTAGAGCAAAGAATGGTTTTACACTTTTAAATGGTTGGAAGAAAATCTAAGAAAGAATACTATTTTGTGACATGCAAAAATTATGTTTTATTCAAATTTGAGGGTTCATAAAGTTTTATCAAAATTCAGTCATGGTTATTCATTTATGTCTGGTCTGTCTGTGTCAGCTTTCACACGACAACAGCAGGACTGAGTCATTGTGACAGAGACTGTGTGGTCTACAATGCCTAGTGTTTACTTTCTGACCTTTTACAGAAGAAGTTTGCCAACCCTGTTCTACCCTAGACAGAAGAGTCACCCAATCAATTCCAGCCTGTATCAGCAGAGCATCAGCTGACCTGCAGCTCTCTAGGAATGAGAGGTTATTGTTGCATGCTCCTGAGTCAGTCACGTGGTGTGTAATGCCACAGTAGCTAACTCTTCAGGGTGCAGTTAACCTTTCTCAAAGAAAGGTATCTGGAATGAGTTCAGATGTCCATGGAGGAGCCTAAATGACACTGAAAAGCATAGAAATCAAGGTTCTTTCCCACTCTCTTTAGTTCCTTCTCATTTTATCAAAGGGGAAGCCTCAGCTTGGTCCTGGTAAGTCTTTAATGCTCTCCTCACTCCTTAAGAACAAACAGGATGAACCTTGAGCTCCTGGGGTAATGGCATCTCTCTAGAACAGAATGAGTCTTTGTTTTATTGTATTTATTTTTATAATGTACCTTCTATTTCTAGCAAGCAACACTAGTTTTCTATGACAGTACTTTAGTTTCCTTTAAAAATGCAATTCTTTACCTAAGAATTGTGATTTATTTTAACAACGATAAAATGATGATATCATTAACAAAAATATCGAGGAAGTCATTGTGCAGTTGAAAGTCAATGTAGAAAAAATCACAAAGGCAGTGAACAAATGACTGAAGTCTGAGAAACATGGATAGAGATGACAGTTGAGACCCCCTCACTTCTATGGCTGCAGAGTGCAATGCTAAGCTTCTTAGATCTGGGATGCCATTCCCTGACTCTGGCACTATCTCTGCCATTACTAGCTGTGTGACCTTGAACATGTTGCTTTACCTCTCTGAACCTCAATCCCTTTGCTGCAAAATAGAGATGCTAATCCCACCCCCAAGGCTGTAGTGCACACTGCTGTCTGCCTGCCTGCCACCATGCTTGCTCTTCTGACCCATACTCACAGAACCTCAGTTTTATTCAGATATCCACTACTCCCTGGCATGGCCATGAGCTTCAGGAAAGCTGATTCCAGCCCAGGAAGTGGTTTACTTGCCCTTGCCCTTGCTAGCGGTTTGTCTGAGAGTAGATGTATGATCCAGTGCCACTGAGGCACAAGAAACTTTTGAGAGCATGTCTAGCTCCTAAGAGCCACTGGCAATAATATTCTCTTTTCTTTGCCTGGATATGATTAGGATCAGATGTGATTCCTGGAAACAAGGTGGCCATTAGCCTCCAGTCTGGGGAGGAAGCCAACACCAAGCACGAGAAAACAGGTAGATAAACAGAACTCAGGCTGGACGATGTTGCTGGGCTGCTGAATCAAACAATCCTGGAGCCAACCCTACCTCTGGGAATGAAGTGTGTGGACTAATAAATGTCCCTGTTTAAACTGGTTGACGATGAGGCTTCTGTTACTTGAAATGGAAAGAATTCTAACTGGTAGACATTGGTCCCTTATGTTCTAGGTTCAAATAGCTACATAAGACTTCTGCAAATTGTCTACTTGGTCAGGCTACTGTTACATAGACAGTCCTTCATACGTAGACATCTATAGCAGGGAGGACTCCCATTTGCTGGCCAGTATTCCTTCCCCTCTTGTTCCCTAGGAACAGAACGCCGATTTTATTGAGGTAGCAGTGTGCCCAGTTAAAAGACTACATTTCCCAT